CACATGCTCCAAGTCCAAGACCAAGGCCAAGGCCACATTTTCCAAGGCCAAGGCCAAATGTTCCAAGGCCAAGGCCACATGTTCCAAGGACAAGGCTACATGATCCAAGGCAAAAGGCCACAAGTTCCAAGGCCAAGGTCAAGGCCAAGGACAAAAATTTCAAAGCCAAAGACAAGGTAAAGGACACATCCAAGTATTTCACGAGGTAAGACTTAAATTTCGAGCTGCAAACAACAAATCCGCATGTCTCGAAATTAAATCAAGGTTATGCGTATATATTGTCAATAAGAAAATATATCAGAAAATAGATATATAGTAAAGCCAAAAACAAAAATACATAAAAATTTAAAAATATAAAATGTTAATATTATTTTTTAACATTAAATATAAATTATTCAATGAACTATTATAGTCTACAAGTCTTTATTGCATTTAAGAAACATTAATGTTTCAAGCAAAGAATCTGACATACAAGCTCTATGAAGGCGCATTAACTAAAGTAACCAAATAATATTATATAACGTTAAACGTTGATGAATTGCAGCATGTAATTACTTTTAAATAATTCTATTGTTCTAAATTCAAAAAATGAACTTGCTAAAATAAACAGAAAGTTAAAAAAAAAATTCAAGGCCAAAAAATTTCAAGGCCAAGGCCAAGGTCAAAAACCTAATTTTTGGCCTTAAGGCAAGGCCAAGGACTAACAACTACGCCTTGAATACTAACTAAAATCAAAACTATGCAATTGCAATTTATAGTTAGTCAAAAATTGGAACCTCTTTGAGTAAATTTAAAATGCCAATTAGAAAAGCATTGTTCTTAGAATAATATGACTTTCTCAAACTTCTTATCAAAGGGTTCAAGAACATATTAGCTGCCTTGATAAATCTTCATTTTCTTTTTAACCACAAACACATTTTGGAAAATGATTCACAAAACTTCTTTAAGTTTTCATTTTGAGCTTCTTGAGTCTCTTTACTGAATAGGCACAAGAAGCTCAAAATTCCCTAAATAATGAAGTGTCAATTAGAAAACTAGATAACAATGTCCACAAAATAACATGTAACATCTTTATCGTACTGACACCAAGTTCAAGAACTAGAGCAAACTTTTCTGCATTCTAGCAGTTTTTTCATTATTTAATGACCCAGAGCCACCAGATATTTATCAACTACCAATCCAACTTCGTCACAAAACTTGATTTGAATTTTCTGTTTTCTTCCTTGGATAATTTTCTTTTCAAATGGTGTCCTTGTAGACCACTTTTTTACTGTTAACTTATAGTTAATTTTAAGAAGACATTCCATGCTTTCATTCCAAGCATGGAAAGTTAAAAGGCCAAGGCAGAGACCTATCTCTTTCAACAACATATTTTTAGCTTCTAATAAAAAATTTTGGTTTTCTATCTCAACTGTTGCCTGATTATAAATCCTTAGGCTAGTTGATCCATCAAACCTAACTTTAGAATGTAATGTTCCTCTTTCAAGATCATTCATGGAATTGATAACTTATTTCTGCTGTATTAGGTGTATTGTTGTATGATCAACTAATGATTGAAAGTTCATTTCTTCAGAAAAACTATTAACAGTTCATAATGTTTTTTCAGCACGATATTATTATTTATCAGCACAAACATTTTTGTGTGCAGGGTAGAGATTACAGCCTTTACTCGCAGCATTATTTCTCAAGTGTAAGTAATAAGATTTGCTAATATTATTATCTAATATTAGTGCTAGAGCTTTTTTAGAGTATTTTAAGCATGTTTTGAATCAGAAGGCTGCATAACAGATTAACTTTAAATTACTTTCACATTAATTCTTCTGTCATCTTTAAAAAGATTACAACTACCACCTTATAGCAGTTCATTTAAATAACTAGTTAATAAGTTGATAGCTGCTACTTTATTTTGTTTTATTATCCTAATTTTTTGATAATTTAATAGTCTATTTCTTAGGTTGGAGTTAGGAATAAGGTTACAAGAAGTTTTCATCAACTCTCCAACTTAAAGACTAAGGTTTACAATACTTTGACAAAAAAGTTACAAATTGAGCATCAAATTGAGAAAAGTATTCATTTATATATATATATATATATATATATATATATATATATATATATATATATATATATATATATATATATATATATATATGTATGTATATATATATATATATATATATATATATATATATATATATATATATATATATATATATATATATAATTGTTATTTTAAAACATTAAAAAAAAACTTGAAGAAAAAACATTTTTTTAATACTTTTATTTTACAGCAAGTGTTAAAAAAAAATAGCTGCTAAATAGCTAGCTAAAGTATTCATTTATATATATATATATATATATATATATATATATATATATATATATATATATATATATATATATATATATATATATATATATATATATATATATATATATATATATATATATATATATATATATATATATATATATATATATATATATATAATTGTTATTTTAAAACATTAAAAAAAAACTTGAAGAAAAAACATTTTTTTAATACTTTTATTTTACAGATAAGTTTATGAAAGCATATATGTAAAGCCTTCAAAAATATGTATAAAAGATAAGGGCAAAATAAAGCACAAATTTTTCCTTGTTGTCTTTTCAAAAAAAAAGGGTAAAAATAGGACATTTCCTACCAAAAAACTTATATTCAAAACTAGTTTAAAGATTTCTTTTTATAAACTTTATATATTAGCAATTATTTGATTAGCTAATAAAAATATTTAATTATTATAGTAAAAATTTATTCTACACTTTTGCTTTATAAAAAACTACATTTTTTCACTCTATCTCTATTTTTTTTGTGCAAAAACTTTACTGAATATGATTTTTTTTCCGCGAATATATTCTTTTAATATCTAATTCAAATACTTTTGAGGTCCCCAATATATCTAATTCAAAACTTTATAAAAAAAATTTAAGCTATCAAACATTGATTTTTATAGTTTTGTTCATCTATTGGCCCACTGTGCAGTATGGATGGTACAATACGTTGAACAATGCGAATATGTTGAAATGAGATAATTTGACGCAAAATTTAAAAGCTCTTAACAAAAGTCATTAAAACAAAAAATTAAATGTAATTGCAGTTCAGTGCACTTAGAAATTTTAATATAGTGAATTGGTGTTTGCAAACAAACATTATGTAAATCATTTTTTAATTTTAATATAAATTTTAATTTTTTATTCAAACTTTGTTGTGCTTAACCATACCTATATAAACAATATATATATATATACACACACACATCTCTTTTTATTAAAGATATATGGAATATATTTTTATGGGATATATTCTAAAAAAGACAAAAACTATTTATTTATTACTATTGTAATAAATACAATCTCTTATCCATGAAAATGATATATCTGTACCAGTTTTATATATTTTTATGCATTTGTATGCAACATAATTAAAATTAATCAAAAGATGTATGATAAATGCAAATAGAAACTTGACGCATAAAGGGTTTTTTTTGCCACAAACTGGCTTCAATGCGCAAAATCTTTTTGGCTTCATATTCATAAGAATGATTTTTTTTAATGACTAAATTTTAGTGTTCTAAGGTCTTCTTTGTTAAATTTGTATAGCGTTACGTACAAACATCTGTAAGTGTAAACCTCTTTAGCATATGTTGAGTTTGCAGGCATTATATGCATTATCACGTATCTATACATAGATCATCCTAGTCATATTTTAAAAATCCGGAAATTTGTTTTGATAAAATATCCGGAATTTGTTTTCCCTTATTTTCTTTATAATTTCGATTTTAGCTAAGCTGTTTCTAACTTTTTTTTACACTTTTCATAATTTTTCTATGAGTAATGAGTGAAAAAGCTTAATAAAAAATATATTACGAAAATATATACCTAAACTTGCATGTATTGAAAATGTTTTGGATATCCGGAAAAACTAAAAGTTAAAAAAAATATCCGAAATTCCAGAAATATCCAGAAAAAGATAATCCCTGATCTATCTAACTATAAAATAAGAAAACTTTAAAATTTTATTTTAAATTTTAGAAATCTTTTTTGCTATATTATTATTTTTTTGCTTTAAATATATAAGCAAGATTAAAAAATTTCAAAACTTATTATGCTTAGAGGAGGTCATAAACCCTCCAAAACAATGCTGATGACAGCGCACTTAACTACTGACCTATCAATGAAATGCATTTAGCAGAAAAACAAACCTAATTATAAGTCTCTTATAAGCTCTACGTATAAGATCTTATAAGCTCTGCGGAAAAGGTACTCATGTTAATTTTTTGATCTTGAGTTTTTTTTTTTCAGAACAAGATTATTTTACTATAATATTAAAGTAAATAAAGAATTGGAATAGAAATAATTGGTTTGGAATAGATATGTATATAAATAGGTTTGTTAAAGGCCCGTGTTTGCAGATCCAAAAAGTTAGGATGTGTAAGGAAAAAGTATATAAAAGTTCAGTTTGGAATAAACTTATTAAGACCCGTATTTTTACGGGTCCGATCTCAGTTAGTATAAAGTATTAATACAAAAAATTGGTTAAAGAAATCTTGATATGACAATTTCTAGAGATAAATTTATTTTTAGGAGCTTTAAAAATAAGACTGCTAAGTCCTTCATTAGTGCAAATCTGTCCTTTGATCTGTCCTTATCTTTGATGGGTATATTATTATAACAAATGTCGAAGACATTTAAATGTTTATAAACATGTATAAACATATATTATACATGTAGAAAATGTATAACAACAAAAATTTTAATTATAAATTAAAAAAAAATATAATTAGAACAGCAGTAATAATAATGAAAAAAAAAAAAAGGAATACTTTTATTGATAAATTCTGTAAAGTTTTAACAAACTTGTGTTCAATTTACACAAATTTTAAAAAGCGATAACAACTATAAAAATTTTAAACCAATGCATTTAAATAACTTAAGTAAACATTTTTTTAAAAGCCATTTACCTTGAACAGCTTTATCAAGAATTGGTGGGCATATCATAGTGTTATTGTCAGTGATAGTATCATGCAGTAATGCATTAGTAAGTGACATACAGCATATTATCCAAATAACAGTTTTGCAGCATATCTAAACATAAAAGACATTATTAGTTTACAAAATATGTATGTACTATGCATTTAAAAATATTTTTTTTTTAAATTTTAAATCAGTTTAGTTCTAAAATTTAACTAAGAAATGTAATAACAACAAAAATTTAATATTTATGCATTAATACACAAATATTTTACAAGACTTTTTTAAAGTTTTACATAAACATCTTAAACAATAATATAAAATTAAAATTTTTATGCTTTATATTAAATTATCAAGATTGATTGATTAGTTTAGTTATATAAATAAAAATAAATAGTTTAATATAGTTCTAAGAAGATTATCAAAGAATCTCAAGATGGCTTCGAAAGATAATAAAATTTATTAATTTTAAAAACCAGTAAAATAGATATTTATAAAAAAACTATATAATAAATAAGCGCTTTGAGCAAAAAAAAAGTATATAAAAATGAAAAAAAAAAGAATATTTCTATACAATGCCTGAATACATATTTTATATGCTTATGTTTTTGTTACTTTTATTGTTTTATAGTTTTGTTAAGAATGTGGTGTATAACTTTGAAATTGATTAATAGATTATTATAAATCATTAGAAAGTTCCATATAGTATTTTAAAGATTAAAAAATCAAATAGTTCTTCTGTTTAACGCTTTAATCTTTTCGTTTAACGCTTTAACACCTCTCAATACTTTAGAGTAATATTTCAAACAATGTAAAATTTATGTGTTTTAAAATTAGATGTCAATACTGATCTGTATGTTGAAGTTTTCAAAAGCAGAAATGGTTTGTTTAAGAAATTTTTATACTACAAAGGTTTTACATTTCAAAAGTGTTTTTTGCTTTATTAGAAATTTCATTTAGAAATTTTAGAAGTTTCCATTAGAGCTTTTTTAGAAATTTCATTAAAATCTTTTCGAAAAACTTTTAGAAAAAATTTTTACAAAAAAATGTAAGCATTTTTTTAATATCTTACTTTATTTGTAAGTTTAATAAATCCAATCAAATTTATTTTGAATAAAAGATCTTATTTCATAGATATTTACAAATAGTAATGATACTAATCTCAAGTAAACACCTATCAAGTTTAATTATAATAAATAGTGATAATAAGAAGAAAGGTAAAAATCAGATAAAAGGTGATAATTGTAAGAAAAATAAGAAATACTAGTAACTGTAAAAGTAATATAACGATGTTAACCACAAAAATAATACCAACAACAATAATATAAATAATAACTATAAATTAAAATAGTTTCAATAATAATATCAATTTAATAATAATAATAAAAATAATAACAATATTAAAATAATATTAGTAATAAATGATATTATAATAATATAAAGGAAATACAAATTAAATTGAAATTAATAATAACAAAATATGAATGATAGCAGTAATTATTAGGAATATATTTATATAATGATATAAATCAATAACATTAAGGAGCAACACTAGTATTTATCAAAATTTAACAATAATAATAGTAATAATAATAAAAGTCATTATTACAAAAAACGTATAACATATATAAATATATATGTATACGCACACATGAACATATACATACATATATAAATATATACATACACACATGCACACATATACATATACACATATACATTCTCACATTGTATATATATATATATATATATATATATATATATATATATATATATATATATATATATATATATATATATATATATATATATATATACACACATGTATATATACATATATATAGATACTCATATATATATACACATATACACATATATATATACACACATACGTATATATATATGCACACACACAAACATATGCATATACACACATACATACATACACACATATACATACATATACAAATATACATATATATACACACACATACACACAAAAACACACACACATACACACATATATATATATATATATATAATATATATATATATATATATATATACATATATATATATATATATACATATATATGCATACACACATACATATGCACACATGCATATAAATATGTATACATACACATATACATATATACACATATACATACATACATATACACACACACACACATTCACATATATATATATATATATATATATATATATATATATATATATATATATATATATACACACACACACATACACATATACATAATACACATATACATACAACATACATACCCATATACACATACATAAAAATATACACAAACACACATATATACATACATACATATAGACACATACACACGCACTCACATACATATATACAAATAGACACATACATATGTACACACACTTATACTTGCGCATATACATACATACACATATACATACACACATATAAAATAATGTTATAATAATATTTATATCACATATAACAATACCAAAAGCAATAATAATAATGACCCACAATAATTCAACATTTTAAAAACAGTATCTCTCCAAAAAAAAAGCAAGACTTTTATTTTATGAAGCTTTAAATTGTGTAATAGAGTTTAGTGATTTAATTTTTTCCAATATTTTACGCATTGGTTTTTGATTAATTTATGACCGTACTTAACCGAAGAATGATTTGAGATAATTAAAGGTTATTACAAGATTGAAGATAATAACGAGAACATTAGTGGTAAAGAAATTACAAAATGAGGGAGGAAGGTTTACTTGCTTGCTATTTCATACAAATAGACAATTTAATAAATGAATAAGATCACACAATTTCAGAAATTTGGATAGAAAGTATAGGATATTAGAATTAGAACAATATTGTTGAAAGTATATTATTTTTAATGCCTTGTTTTGCATATTAGATATTCTTAAAAAAGTTTTTGTCTGGCTTTGTCCCCAAACCTGACAAGCATATTGTAAATGTGATCCAAAAATAGCATAGTGTACCTTGAGCAGAGTTTCATGATTGACATAATGTCGAACTTTGGATAGCATCCTATTTGATCTAGATAGTTTCACTGATAAGTCTTTAAGGTGAGAGGAAAAGAATAGATTCGGGTCAATTTTGATTCCACGATATTTTAAAGAAATTACAGGAAAGATTTTTTAGCCACTTAGTCTGAAGTTTAGGTGTTTAGTGATTTTATATTGATTTGATTTGAAAATAATAAGCTCAGTTTTGCTGGTATTAAGACTTAATTTTTTAGATAGCAGCCATTGAAGAAGATTGGATAAATCATGATTTATATATTTGTTAATTTTTTTAAATGATTTGTTCGTAAGTAAGTTTATGTTATTAGCAAAATGGTAAGCAGTTGAAAATTTTAAAAACATATTGAGATCATTTATAAAAATAAGGAAAAGCAACAGACCTAATACAGATTCTTGTTATACACCTGTGGAGAAAAATATTGGCAAAGATTTAGCATCATTGATGGCGACAAACTGTGACCTATTAATAAGATATGATAAAAACCATTGGTGAGCAATGCCTCTAACACCATAGTGTTCTAGTTTACTTAGGAGGATTGAATATAGGTATATAGATAGAGATAAGGTGAGACTAGACATTTTTACATTTCAGAAAATGGATGTCAGTCATTCCCTATGGTTCCAAAGGACCAAAAGCCTTTGAAAAAGCAGAGGTTCAGACATAGAATATATTGACTATGAAAACTTTTCTAATTAAATTGCACATAACTGTGTTTTTGCAAGACTAATACATGATATTTTATTAACAAAAGACAAACAAATAACTATAAAAGCTATAATATATATGTTTTATACTTATATTATAACAAAAACATTGACTTATTTGGTGTGACTATAAATGCCTCAAAATGTATTACTCATATTTTCAGAGAATGATTTTTTCTGTATGATATGTATGGAAAAATATTTTTGGGAAGGTTTATAATATAGGAATAAATAAAAGATGCTTTTGATAACAAACCTCCTAAGAAAATTAATGACACATAGCAAAACCAATACAAAAAAAGGCTTTTTGATATTAACTATAAGAATGGATAAGGCAGCACTTAAACGATGATGAAAGTGGAACCGAAATTAGAAATCCAATCGCGTAATTTAAACAATTCTTTACATTTGAAGAAGTAAACTTTATAATAAACTTTGTATTCTTCATATATAATCCTAATAAATATTAGTGGTAACCAAAAACATCTGTAAAATTTTTAAGTTTACAAGTTTTCTCAAAAATGTCTTAAATTTGTTACAATTGTTGGTAACAAGGTTACATTTTTTATTTATGACTAAATAAACTTTAAAATGCAATAAATGTTTGTTTATTATTGTCATATTGCTGTTTATTATGTTTTAATTTATTTTTAATGTACAACTTTTTGTCTTAACTGGTTACTTTGTAAGGAAAAATGAATAAAGTTATAATTTGCAACAATGACAAAAAATTTTTAAATAATCTTAATAGTCGTTATATTTTTCACGTTACCTTTTATTTTAATTGGTTACATTTTTAAGATATGCATACATTTTTAGTGTTTTTTGTCAACCAGTTGTCAACCAACTGAGACGTAACGAACCTTACCGTTACGCTACGCATAAAATGAACGTAAAATATACGTATAAGTGGAATTAAGACGTAAGGTGACGTAAAAAATGTTATGAGCATTAATATGAAAATTACGTCACTTAGGAGCGATATTTATTTTTCGTGACTAAGTAACCAATACAGAAAAAACTTTTTTACATTAAAAATAAAATAAATATAATATAAACGAGATAAACACGTAAAAAAAATGTTAACCGAACTTTAGTACTAAAACCACATTTTATCTTTAGTGTTGGTTTGTTGAAACAATGCAAGCGAAATTTAAAAAATATACATGCCAATATTTGTAAACTATTTTGTGCTAGATTAAAGATCTAGTAATGGAAGAGACGTATAATGTTACGTCTCAATAAGTATCATTATTTTAGGGAAAAGGAACTTTAACAATTTATAGAATTTCTCATGTGGATGACTTTCAAATGCAAGAATGCACTGGAAAGGGTCCTTGATT